AAATAGCAAATATTAAACACTATGACAAGTCGAGAGAAAGAGTGTGAGAAGAATGGAAAAAAAACTGTATTTTAGTACTTCTAAAGGCACTGTTTTCTCCTGTTTTTTAAACAAAGGGCCCCACATTTTCATTTTGCCTCAGACCCTACAAATTATGTATGTAGTCCTGTTCATCTGTACTGCATTTACATTGGTGAGGACTGTATTTGGAAAATGTAAAGAATGCACATATATAGTTTTGTGAGCACTAAGTGACCAGTGGGATGCTCAAATAGAGACGTACCCTTTTAATTTGAGCCTTTTACCCATGTCATGTTGTTAACAAGCTTATTCTGTGGGTTCTCTTGCTTTGCTTTTTTCCTTAATTCATTTCTCTTGATATGTGTGCTATTTGAGAGACATATTCAGTGTCTCAGCCTGACATTAATCACTGACAACATTTAACAATGAAAGCTAATGAAGCAGAAAGGATTTTAATTGTTCATAACCATCTTTTCACTTTTAGTAATTGCTTTGTGGGTTTTCCATACATCTTCTTTAGGTTAAAAGCATTCTCAAAAATAAAGGAAGAAAGAAACACTCTTAAATTCTCACATGCTGTTTCAAGTCCTTCTTACCAATTCCAAAGCAATAAAAAGAAAAAAGGAACATTTCCTACAGCTGTGAAGACCCCTCAGCGCTAAGTCAGACATTGAAAGTTGGTCTGCCTCTCTTTTAATCACTCTTTATGTCTGTTGTTCCTCTTTATAACTTTTCTTGTGGAATTTATTTTCCCTTTCCTAATATTTTCATATTGTTGATTACTGACAGGAAGAAGAAAGGAACACTTGTTAAGTTCCTTTCCTCACTGTATTTCACTGATTCCATTTTATCCCCTCCTCTTCTTGCTTTCTGTACCTCTATTACTGGCTTCAGTGCCTGTCATCTTCAAAGCATGCTTGAGGCCTGTGTCACAGTTGCAGGGAACAGGCAGGTGTTAAATCTCAGAGTCTTGCTTTTTTTTTTAAAGGTGAAAGAGTCACTAAAATTCACCCTGTTGCCTACTTGGTAGGTCATTCTAAACCTAAGCTGTTATTTTTGTTTTCAAGGGATATAAAACATGCTGCCTTTCATATTGAGAAAGATCCTATTGTCCTTCTAGCAATAGAGCCTGCACTTGGAATTGTATTTCCAGTTGGAGCAATGATCCAACCACATTCTCTTTTACGGTCTGCTCTGGGACCAACAGACTACACTTACTGGGGTGACTGGTGCAGTGCAGTCTGTGGCTGAGAAACAGATTATCCACAAGCCAGGTTTATTAGAACTCATTTTCTGTTCCACTAAAATGCTCCACCTTGATACCAGCAAACTTAAGGGACCCTTTCCTGTGCTTGGTTAGCTCTAGTTTGTAGCATTTGAACACTGACACCTGCTTTTCCCTCTTTTGGTTTCTAGGTCATCCTTTTCTCTTTTTCATTCTTTCTCTTTATAGTCATGCATCTCTTTTTAGCTGTTCCTTTCCTCTTCCAGTGCCTCTTAAGTGCCAGTGTTCTCCAACGCTTGACTCTCAGTCCTGTTTTCCTTTCAGTCTGTGATATTCTCACATGGTGATCTCATTCCAACCAGGGCTTCAACTGCTGTGTCTACTGTCTTGACCCATCTCCTGCCTTGACCTTTCTTGAGTTGTTTTCTATATATTCACGGTATTGAGTAGGAAGTTATCAGTTGTGACTAACAGAAAATCTGACAAACTGCTGGAAAAAAATAGGGCATATCTTTCCCACATAGGAATTATAAATCTAAAGTCAGTCAATCCACAGTTTTTGCAGAAGACCTGCTAGTCAGTAACGATCCAAGTTCCACCTGCCTTCTTTGCACCAACGTTGTTAGCATATTGGCTTTTCTCCTCGTGCTTGTTGCTTCCTTGTCATGCAATGGCTGCTGCATCTCCTGGCATCAACGTCCACAGAGGGAACATGGAAGAAGGGATGAATAGCTGAGTCTGTCTTTTTTTTTATTAGAAAACAAAATATTCACTAGAAATCCTACTCAACATATGTTCAGATGTACCTCTAATAAAGTGTCATTTGGCTGTCCATAATTTTAAAGTGAACTGTAAAATGGATTATTAAACTTTCCTCTTCAGTAGTGGAGAAAGGCAAGAAAGAATATAGTTATGAATTGTTCATCCATAGTTTGGGGTAACCAACCCAATTTTGGCCCATCCATTTTCATACTTGATATCTCCAACTGGATATTCCAAAAATACCTTAACCTTAGACTTTCTGGAGTGGGGAGGTGGGATAAAACTTAGTAAAAGGAAAAGACAAATGGTAAGTTCCCTGTTTTTGTGATTTTAGCCTGGAGGTAAAATTCATGTCTTGGATGTAAGGCAGCTGAAACTTCCATAGAAAACCTACTGCCCGCCTGACCTGAGGAATCAAAGGACAGAGCTTACGGCTGCTATCGCTGAAGGAACGTGAAGGGGGCATTACAGAAAGGAGAGCACCAGAAGATGGAAGTCCCAGGTATGTGGAAACTCATAAAAAAGATATGATGCAAATGATTTTGTAAATTAGTTGATACAAAATGTTACCAGAAGGTTCAGAGAAATTCAGGGGAGCCTGAGGCTGATTATAAGAGACTTTCCTAGAAATTGTAGCACTTTAGCTGGATTCTGAAGGATGCATATTTTTCTTCCAGGTAAGGATGACAAAAATGTATGGCCACTGAGCCATCAGAATCGGTAAAACTCTTTTGGCCTCTGCAGCTTAAATCGTAGAAAAGCAATATGAGCAATCTTATAGACAGTCCTGGAGGAAAAGCTGGAGTCTCAAGTGCTTTGGGGAGGCGCTTTAGAACTAAAGTATATATGAAGCCTTTGCTTGTACTTCTAGATGGAGAATGATTAACCCTTTCTTCCTTATTTAGTGACAAAGTAAGTGCGTACAACATCACACGTTGCTGTGAGCTGGAAGAACACTAAGATAAGAGCAAAGGGGAGAGAGAGAGATTCAGAGCATTTCATTTCCTTGTCAAAAAGTGTGGGTACCCATCGTAGTGTGTAAATGCTGCCCAGTGTCTGGCTGGTGTGAATTACACAAGTAAGGATAGATTCAATGATGCCAAAAATGAAAGAACTTCATTGGGATTTGAATTGCCATCTACTGGTGAAACAGAGTTAGGGTTTGTATGTAACCGAGTTAATCGCCTATATTTTCTGCTAAAACAAAAGCAACATTCTTCAGAACAATATAACAAAATCGAGAGAATCTACAACATAACTTTTGTGATGTTCAGAATGAAATCCATTTTTACTTGATATTTGAATAAACGGGAAAATGTGGCCATTTTCAGGGGAAAAAATCATCTGAGACAAACCCCTGTGTGATCCGTATTTTTATTTTTTGGAAAAGAACTTTAAAGTAGCTATTGTAAGTATGCTTAATTAAGTAATGAAAGAAAAGATAGTCTCAGAAGATGAATGGGAAATATAAAAAGAGCAAAAGGAAAATTCTATATCTGAAAAATATAATATCTGAAATTTTAAAATATTGCCTTGGTTTAGTAGCACAATAAATTTGACAGAGAGAATCAGTGAATTTGAAAACAATATCAAAAGATGAGAGAGAAACTATATCAAAAAGAGAAGAGTGTCAGAGACTTGTGGAAAATTTTCAACAAATTTAAAATGCAGTCAATTAGAGTATGGAATGAAAGAAGAAAGAGAATGGACTGAAAAAAAAAGGAATAATGGCCCAAAGTTCTTGAATGTCCCTAGGGTCAAAATAGGTAGGCAGCTAAATACTCTCATGAAATACTAGTACATAATTCAAAACATAGCAAAAATAGATGAACTGAGGATATTTCCCCAGTAAAAAGTCATGATCCTTTCCCCAGGCACCTAAGACAGTTTTAGATCCAGATACCATTGACTAATGAGGTGGCAGTGTCTGCAGAAGCAAGGACCCTGTATAACCAGACAAAAATGTGTTGTGACGATGCCTCCAGTCCTTCCCCAAAAGAACCTATGTCAATTTACTTGGGTAAATGTACACTGGGGAATGACCGAGTACCCA